TATATTATGCTAGCGATTCGTTGTTCTATTTTCGTGGTGTATTCGTGTGTTAATGTTTATTTTTGTGGTACGTTCGATAAATAAAATGGCTTAGAGTTACGTGAAACTCGATCTACATAGATTAGCAAATATTTGAGTGGTTAAGGGGTTATTAGCCCGCATCCGCATCTACAGAGATTCGTCGTTAATATTTTTTGAGATCTCGAATTTTATTTATTCTTAAATTTCAATGTGATTATATTTTATATATTTATATTTTGTTAATTGTTGCTTGGGATTATTTTGTTTTTAATATCTTAATTTTAGACGTTTTAAGGACTTTACTTTCTCAAAATACTATTTAGATAATTACTTTAAAATAATAAATGAATGTTTTCCACAAATATTTGCTTTATTATTTTTAACTGAAAAATCACTAGACTTTCTGTCTATATTTAGCGATAATTAGAATATGATCGTAAACCTAGGTCAAGTGTAGAGTGTTACATTTAAAAAATAATTTGGAAAACTACTTTTTTAGTATGAAATGGGACAAAACATGAAGTAGGTCCCAGTTTGCATGGATGTAAATTAGGAAAAAAAGAGAGTAAAATAAACATATAATTCATCTTTGTAAAAGAAGAAAAAGAGGATCAAAACAAAGACAGAAAGGAAAACAAATTAGTTGAGGGAGTGGCATTGAAAGAAAAATCACCAATAAGAAGACAAAAACCATAAAAGGGAGAAAGAAGATGGGGCCAATATTATGCAGTGACAAGGCTCGTAGGAGAAGAAGCTGCTTGCAATCTCACAGCTATGCAATGGGGTCAACAAATCTTATCATTCTCCTCCAAATAAATCTTACGGTAAATTACACATTTAGTATCTAAACTATCAGTTTTAGTATGTTTTAGTACATGGACTTTTAATTTTTTCAAAATCATACTTAATGTTTAATTTTCGTTTTATTTTAGTGCTCCGCTGTTGAAAACTTAATGCCTTTAGTACCTAAACTTTCAGTTTTTTTAAAAAAAACTTAACATTAAATTTTGAATGGGGTACTAAAACGAAAAAAAACTAAATTTTAGGCATGGTTTTAAAAGATTGAAAGTTTAGGTATTAAAATAGACTAAAGTTGATAGTTTAAGTACTAAATGCGTAATTTACCCTAGATCTTATTACAGATAGAGGAAACGCGTCCAAAAATCAAATAAATACATGAGAAATGGGCTTCAAGATTTTGGTGTTTGGTATGGGATTTTGTGTGAATCCAAATATAATTTCAATCAAATAATATATATATATATATATGTACATATAAAATTATTGTTTGATATGCAGACAATATATTTATACATAAAATTAGGAAAATATTATTTATCTAAATTAATTTATTAGGTTTGAAATATCACTACAGCAAAAATGTTATACAATGACGTTTTTAGCAGCGTTTTGAGAGTAAACGTCGCTAACTTGAAACATATAGCGGCATTTCCATTCCAAACGCCACAAAATGATATAATTAGTGGCATTTATACACAAATGAAAGAGCAATGAAGACTAAATTCTAGTGAACAATATTTTTTTATTGAAAGTGAAAGAACTTAGACTAAATTCTAGAGAACAATGTCAAACTATATTACATTTAATTTTAATGTTTATAAATTTTAATTTATTTTATTGTTAAGTATTTTTCTGCATAACTTATGTCTTAATTAAAATATATGGTTGTTGCTACATGATCTTAGCTAAAGAAAGGTAATTAGTGGCGTTTGTATCAAAAAATGTTGCTATAGATTTGATTTTTTGCGGCGTTTGTTTCAAAAATGCCACTATAGATATGACCTTTTGCGGCATTTGTTCCAAAAACGCCGCTATCGATCTCGATGTTTTGCGACGTTTGTTCCAAAATGCCTCTATAGATATCGGCCTTTTGCATCGTTTGTTCCAAAAAATGCCGCTATAAATATCGACCTTTTGTTGCGTTTGTTCAAAAAACGTCGCTATATCGACCTTTTGCGGCGTTTTTTGTTCTCAAATTCCGCTAACTTTAGCAGCATTGGTATGGCCGACGATTCTTGCGGCGTTTTTTCTATCGCCGCAAGTGCTTTTAGCGGCGCTTAAAAACGCCGCTATAGGACTAAAAAAACGCAGCGAAAACTCTGTTTTGTTGTAGTGTATCATTTATAGACATGTGGAGATTCATAACATGAGGTAAATATAAGGTAGTATAGTTTGAAGATAACTCTCAATTATTTGATACTAAACGCTCGTACCCATGACATTCATGGTGCTCAAATCCGGGACCTAAAAAATAATAATAGTTTTTTTACCATAGAGATCGCTTGTTTTTTTTGTTCATATACTTGTATACGTATGTATGGATATTTTGATCAAAGAAGATTCAATAGAAAATAAAGCTTCATTTGCGTGTTCTTTTTCAATTATTTGATGTCTAGAAAAGTGGAATGGTCTACAACGAAAATGAACAAAAATTGCCATGAGCATGGTGTGTTTTGGGGTTTTTCTTTTCATTTGAATTTGTGCAATATATATATATATATATATATATATATATATAGAAATAAATAAATAAATACGTACAAAAAATATATATGAGGGGCACTGAATTATTGGTAACATAATGTACCCAATTTGAGATATGGGGATGGCATTTGCTAGTTGATATTGAGAAGGGAAATAGATTATATGTACTGTTGATAAAAGTATATGTTTTGTCTTTAATTTAAAGCCTTAGCTTTTTATGCTAACGTGTAAGATATTCCATTATTATTCTTGGAACTAATTTTGCTAAATTAATCAACTAATGTTGCTTTATTTTGTTGTTATCTATATATTTTTTATATTAAGAATACTCTCTCTTTATATATATAAAAGACAGATAGGTTACTTAACTTTGAAACGACCATGATCCTAAAAAATAATTAAATCATAAAAATTAAGAGAGTCATGGTTTAATTATTTGGACTAACTAATGAAATTATAAAATCGGAGGGATACAACTAAGTCAAATCAAAGAATAAAGGGTAAACTTCGAATTTGAGCATAGTAGAGGGGTCAAATCCCTTACTTGACCTAAGTTATATGAAGCTAATCAATTAGTTTAACTAGATAAAAACGATTGTAGTTAAACCTCAAATTTTAGTAATGATGGTGGAAAACTTATTACATATTTACATATAAAGCTTATCTACAAATTTCACATATTTAAAAATATTGAATAAATCGTCTTTCGCGTAAATTTTACGAAATATATAAACATTTTAGTATAAAGACTGAATTCAAACAATTATTTTTATACACACCTTATAAAGATAATTGTTTGAATTCAGGACGTCTAAAAAAATAATATTTTTTTTAACGCTAAGATCATTTCCATTGGATTCTACAAACATAAGGAGAGAAATATTATTCATTGAAAGCAAACCCTAACATATTTAGGTACTAGACAATATCCACTCATTGTGCATGCTTTTTCAACCTATGATGTTGATTTATCATTTATATAATATATACTTTGGAAAAGAGCCTTCATGAAGCTGCTGCTGCAAGATTACAAGTTTTTATTCGTGCGAGATCATATATTAAGAGTGATTTTTTGGAAATTAATTTAAAACTGATAAATTTTATAAAATTTAAATACTTAAAATATAAAATATTTAATTGTATGATACTTTAAAAATTTCTTTCGTCCATTTGATATTTATTTCCTTAGACAAATATTTTGTAAGAGTTATTTGTAATTAAATTGATAATTAGAACATATTTAAAATTAAATTGAAATATATTTGAATTCTAATCGATTACGATAAGTTAAACTATGGTTGTAGAGAGTAGGACTCTGAACGAGACAAGACATATCACGACCTCTCAAGTTTAATTCGATCAAAGTTTAGTCAACACTTGAATCAAACGAACTCGACTTAAGGTATTAACGAGTCGAATGGAACTATTTGATATTGGACTCGAAAAGCTTGCAAGCAAATAAAAAATAAGAATATATTAATTTTTATTTTTATTTTAAAAAAAATAGAATATGAAACTATACTTAAGTTTAGGTTCAAACTCGAGTTTGAGCTTGAGCTGAGCTCAAGTATGAGCTTCAATCGAGCTAAATCTGAGAATGCTTTGAGTTCAAAGTTTTTCAAATTCGAGTCGAACTTCAATTTTTGATTTCGAGTCGAGCTTAAAATTTTTATTATTGCGAGCTTTTGAGCCGAGTAAAGCTTTAATTTTGTTGGGATTGTTGAGCCGAGTCAAGTTTAACAATTTTAAACTTAACTTTAGATTTTGGGTAACTACGCATTTGGTACCTAAAATATCAATTTTAGTACCTAAACTTTTAATTTTTTCAAAAGCATACCTAAATTTTAGCTTTTGTTTCATTTTAATGCTTATCGTTAAAAACTTAACGCGTTTAATATCTAAACTACCAGTTTTGATCCGTTTTAATGCCTAAACTTTCAATTTTTTTAAAAACTTAACATTAAATTTTGAAAGGATACTAAAATGAAACAAAAATTAAATTTTATATATGAATTTAAAAAAATTATAAGTTTAAGTGATAAAATGAATCAAAACTAATAGTTAAATATTAAATGTAACATTTACCCTCGAATTTTTGAAGTGAGTTTAACAAAACTCAATCTAGATTCAGCTCTTTTACTCAAAAATGGAGAGTATTATTTATGGAAAGTTGAAAAGTAGAAAAAGGGTAGATAGATATTGTTACCCTTAATGGGGGAAAATGGTCACTTTCTCTGTCCTCACTGTATTTCACCATCTGCCAAATGCAATCTTCACCACCGTTCATCATTTATCATTCACCTCATCATCACATGAAGAAGATGAAGAAGACTATATATAACTTTATTCCCAGTTTTCCATTTTTTCCCCTTCAATTTTATTATGTGTTTAGGGATTATAATTGAAATTTAATACAAGAAGGCACAGAATTCCAGTTGTTGGATTTCAAACTTGTGTTTTGAAACAAGCAAAAGGGAAGGAATTTATTATATTTTTCATCTTCTTCTTCCCATTATAAACACTATACAGGGATCGATCCATGGAGAGAGAGAGAGAGAGAGAGAGGTTTAGCCCTTCAAAGAAAAAGCAAAAAGGCTTAAAACCAGAAAAGAAAAATATTCACACTCTGTCACAAATCACAATCAGAAGAAAAGAAGAAAAGAACACTAATAATCCCACAGCAAACCTTCTTCTTCAAAACTATGTTGTAAAATACTTTCTGGAGCTAGTAATTGATCACAAGCATACCCACAGTCTTCCATATTATGCAGCCATGGTGGAGGGTAAAACCAACCATCCACTGAGTCCAGGAAAACGAACTCGTTTTTCAACTCGAGGGAGTCGTAACTCGTCCCGAGGCTTGGCAACTCGACTATCTCGCTTAACTCGTCCGACCCTGAAGATAAGTCTTCCATCTGGGAAACCAAAGACGATAGTGACGAAAAAGATGACAGTGTTGAAGTGGAAGATGGTGATGGCGAGTCGAATTTGTCCATCTGGGCAGCTTTCGCTGCCGCGGCTTGGACGTCGCGTGGTGCCAAAGACACGGGTCGAGGTAACGAGTCAGAGAGTGCGGGGAAGTTGAGGATAGCTGAGTTGCCTTTGATGCTTAACGCGGCTACATCGTGTGCACGGGCCGCCATTTCCGGCGTAGGGAAAGTGCCGAGCCAAATGCGGGACTTTTTACGTGGCTCCCGGATTTCGGACACCCATTTCCCCCAGCTCCGCATCCGGACGCCGCGGTAAACGCTGTGCTTGTTCGAATCCCTCACTCTCTTCATCCTTTTGTTACCGTCCAACACTACGGTCTCGGTCGAGTGAGTCAAACTAGGAGACGACGGTGATAAAGGCAGCGACGAGGTCGAATTCGAGCTGCTCTCCGTCTCTGAATGTTGCGGCTCAGCCATTCTAGGCTTTCTTCTTTAACCAGCTGTTTTTTTCCCACTATGCAAAGGGAAATGTTGAGGTAATGTTATTGAATGAAGAGTGTGTGGGCTATTAGAAAGAGAAAAATTAATCACTTAAAGAGAAGACTAAGAGAGTTGATATTAGCTACTATTTTTTGTGCCCACATCATTTCCCAATGACTCATACGACAACTGATAAGCATTGAGAGACTTATAGATATGACCCACAAGAGAAATGGGTCACATACCCTCCACCCATATGCCTATGGTTCGATTGGGGTTACCCACTTCCCTAGAACCACTCAATATCCATTCAATTCAATTTCATTTCTTTTTTTCTTTTAATTTTTTTTCAATTTCTATTATATCTGAAGTCTAATTAAATCACTCTTAAATAAGAGATGTCGGTCTTTCAATAATTCAACGTAATTTTCTTTTGGCTTAATACCAAAATAAGTGCCTAAACTATATCTTAATTCTTAAATAGGTGCCTAAACTATTTTTTGACCATCCAAGTGCCTATTGTTACAACGTTACCATTTAAGTGCCCGGGCCATCAACGGAGTTAATACCCGTTAAGTGACACATGTCACAATCTGGTGATTTTAAAAAATATTATTTAAAATTTTAAAAATAAAATTAGATATTTTTAAAGAAAAATATAACATTTTAAAATACCCAAAACTTTGGAAACCTTTATTTCAATCCCTAAACTCACACTGACTGCCACCCTTTGCCGTCAACGAAGCTCCACCAGACTACACCTCCCCTTGTCAACCAAAACCTTCATGAAATCGTGACCAATCGACGACTGATCGATGCCGAATCGATGTTTTATACCTCGCGAACCCTAGGATGAAAATCGCAATCCTACGCGATATCAACGACCAATAGACGACAACTACGATGGCATATGACTAGGAGGATGGCAGGAATTACGTCGACAGCGGTAGTCGTTGCTGGAAAGGGCGACAACGGCGGGTTAAGGATATGATTTGGGAATTTTAGGGATTTTGAGGTTTTTTATAATTTAAGAGAAATTAGATTTTTTTTTATAAATATAATAATAGTTTTTAAAAAATAAATTTTAAAATCATCAGATTGTGGAACATGTCACTTAACGGGGAAATTAACTTCGTTGACAACCCGAACACCTAAAATGATAACATTTGTAATGTTAGGCACCTAATTAGATCAAAAAATAATTTAGGCACCTATTCAGAAATTGAGGTATAATTCAGACACTTATTATGATATTAAATCTTTTATTTTATATTCATAAAATTCAAACTTAAAATTTTATTTAAAATTTTGAATTCTTTATTATTTGATCAAACAAATAGATAAAACATTGATCATGTATGCCCTCTATCTTCTTCATCAACCATTCATCCATCAATGGTATTTTCTTTTTATCACAATTTTCACCCTTTGTCTCTTTGACAAGTTTCCCTTTGAATGGTTGGTAGAATATATATATATATATATATATGCAACTATTTATATTATAATATTTATGTAATATTTTTTTTTTGTTATTGATGATTCATAATTTGATAAGTAAGAGATGACTATCAAGCTCAGTTGGTAGAGCACAAAGTTCTTAATCTTGAGGTCGTGGGATCGAGTCCCACGGAGGGCATTTCATAATTCGGAGGTCTTCTACAGAAGTGCTCTCTATCTGATGTTAGGGGCAGCCTACTATCTTACCTCCCCTTACCCCATTACATATGAGAACAAGGGATAACCATTTTTTTTATTATTTGATAAGTAAACTGTGTTTATAATATTTTCAATGGGTCCAATCGACCAATTTAAGAATAAATGCTATACTTTAATTAAATTTTCACTGATGCTCGAGTTAAAATAAATATATTTATGTTTATTAATTATTTTTAAAATTTATTTTTATTGCACGAATTAATCAATCTCAGCGGTTAAAAGAATTATTATTATTTTTAGAGATTATGAATTTGAATTTCAGTGATTGTAAGGGTGATTGAGTGTTTATTATCAAATGGTTGAAAGCATTTTTAAAATAAATATTACTTTATAATCATCCTAATTTAATAAAAAATATTTTTATTTGATTTATTTGTTTCCTTTTTCTTGTTTTATTAAGCATCGATAGCATATCAATTTACACTCTTGAAAATAATAGTAAATGAATGTCAAATAAATTAGAGAAAATAAAATAATGGCGATTAGTTAAGGCATTGAGAGTCTAGAAGCGAACCATTGCTCTCAATAAAGTTTAGAGTAAATTAGGTGTTTAGTATTTATGTTATCAGTTTTTGTTTATTTTAGTACTTAAACTTTTAATCTTTTAAAATCGTATCTAAAATTTAGTTTTTGTTTTATTTTAGAATCCCACTATTATAAACTTTATTTTCAGTTTTATTTTAGTACTTTTGTTCAAAATTTAACGTTAAATTTTGAATTTTTTTTAAAAGTTTGGGCATTATAACAAACCAAAACTGATAGTTTAGGTATTAAACTCATTAAGTTTTTAATAATGAGGTATAAAATAAAATTAAAAACTAAATATTAGTATAATTTTGAAGAAAAAAATTAGATACTAAAACGAATCAAAATTAATAGTTTAGATATTAAATACCTAACTTACCCTAAAGTTTAGAGTGTTTTCAATGAACAAAGCTTACTACGCGAAAAAAGGTAAGTGATAAGCCACCCTTTTCTTTTGGGTTAATTATATTGGACATCCTTAATTTATGGTTTAAGTTCTAATTTAGCATCAAAAATTCAAAACATTCTAATTGAGTTCTTTAAATATTAATATTGTATAGTTTTGGTCCTTCGATCAATAATTTTTAGAAAAACATGTCACATGTAAGATGTAATTTTAAACACGTTTCAATTCGATAAGAGTTTAACTCTCAAACTGATAACTAAATTAATAGAATAACTTAACTAATGTAATAATTGAATGTTGAAGACTTAATTAAAATATTTTAAAGTATAAAGACCAATTTAAAATTTAAATTATAGTTCAAAGACATCTTATTTTATGAAATTAAGTATTTTTCTTTGTATTACTCATATTGAAAAAGAGTAAATTATGTGGTTAGTACCTAAACTATTAGTTTTGATTCATTTTAGTATCTAAACTTTCAATGTTTTCAAAATCATACTTAATGTTAGTTTCTATTTTATTTTAGTACATCGACGTAAAAAACTTAACGGGTGATTTGCACATGACATTTTTATGGGTAAACCGCGTCATTCATCACTCACTACCTTCTTACTCCTATTTTGGTTTACTCATTTCTTTAATTTAATTTAATTATATATTAATAAAAAAATAAAAAAATGTCATGTCATAAAAATTATTAATAAAATAAAATAGAGTGATGAATGATGTGATTTACCCATAAAAATACAGTGTGGTCAAGTTTTTAATGACGATGTATTAAAATGAAACAAAAACTAAATGTTAGGTATGATTTTGAAAAAAATTAAAAGTTTAGATACTAAAATAGACCAAAACTATTAGTTTAGATACTAAATGCATAATTTACCCTAAAAATATTAAATTCACTCTTCTACATAGCTCTATTAATATTGAATCTCATTAAATTCGAAAATAATACTAACTAGAATTTGGAGTGTGGAAGGAAGGGATCTTCATTAGGGACCCAAAAATTTGGAGTGTAATGTTCCAAAATGGTGCACAATTTGGTAGTAGTTAAAGTTGATTTGCAGCACATAGGTCATGCCACAAAAGTTGAGTCACATTGGGTCCACTGTGAGTTACTAACTTGGCTGCAACCAAGACACGGTGGCTTGATTACGTGCTCCTATTTATAAATTAAATATGAAATAAAAAATTGGTGGGTTTGTACATTATTTGGTCAAATTAAATCAAGATGCCCCCACATGTTGAAATTGACAAGAGGGTCCCTTTCCCACATGGAACCGTCCACTCCAGCCCTTCTTCTATGGGAATCGCCAAGTATCTTATTTCTTTTTTAAGAATGGTAACTGAATTTCACTTGTTACAATTTCACTAATAAGCGACAAAATCAAAATTACAACGTATTAAAAAATAGAGATAAAATTAGAAACAATAGTCATTAAAATATTTATACAAAAATAAAAATCAAATTTAAATTACGAAAAAAAAACAAAATATTCCATTCAGAATGACGACCAACATCAAAACCCAAGAACCTTAGGCGAGACTTGGGTCACACAACATCGCATCTACCTAAAACTCGAGCTGAATCCGGGTCACATAGCGTCGAAAACCACTCGACTAGTCTACTCATCTAGAGTACTTGTGATATGGCCGAGTCACTTAGCATTGACACCTCACCCAACTAGCATTCATAGTGCCCAAACACTAACTTGGATATATCCGGATAATTCCTTACTCAACTAGACCAACGTCGTACACAAGTAACTCGGGTGGTATCAATACTCCTTCTATATTAATACTCCCTAATTATTAAGGGTTTCATTTGAAATCATGTTAGAAGGTCTCCTTTAACAAAACCTCTGGTTTCATTCTTCTATTCCAATCTAGGCTTATAGCCTAAAATTCTACAAGGGTATCGATACTCCTTCTTGGGTATTGATACTCCCCTTACGTGGTATCGATACCTACTAAGTATCGGTACCAACAATTGATTCAATGTTTAGAAAAATACCTCAGTACCGATACTCCTATACAGGAGTATCGATACTCTACCTTAGGTACCGATACTTCCATGAGTATCGATACCAAAATAGCATACTCGAATATGATTGAGTCCCCTAGTATCGATAACAGGCCTCGAATATTGATACTATTTGAGAAATATCGATACTCCTTGATGGGGTATCGATACTCTCCTCACGATCATTTTAAATTTTTCCCTTCCACGTCGGGCAGTATTGATGCTATTCTTCTTGTACCGATACCCTATGCCTAGAAAACTCTATTTCATTCATCTAAAACCTTCCAAAACCCTTTAAGGTATCACAAGGCCCCTAAATGATATCAAAAGATTATGTAGTACTTAAGAAACATGAAAGGTTTATACTTTACACAAGAATAACAACAAATCTTGATTTCTATACTTAAACCCCCAAGTGCACACAAATGGCTCATACACCCAAACATGCATCAAAACTACACATGCTGGTCTACA